GGCTGACCCTGGCTAGATCCCCGCGAACGGGATACCAGGATCCCAATTGAGTTATCCGACTAACAAACCATCAAGTCTCACGAACATACACGCGAAGGGTCCGACATCGGTGAAGAAGAAATCACCGTCTTCCGGGCACACCGTGGGCGACAATAGAGGGCCAAGGCTCTCAGAATCCTTTCTTTTCGAAAAACCCTTCGAAGGAGTATCCTACTCCTCCGTAGGCTCAGGGGCTACACCCACCGGGTGTGCTCACGCGCACCCGCTGGCGAGTCAACAAATCCCCAAGTAATTCTACTCAAATCATCCGGGGCTCGGGGGCTACTGTCGGGGACCAATATTAGGGTGCCCAAAGAGGAGGAGCTAATGACCGTCAACATTGATTCATCCGCACGATTGAGAGCGTGACTACACCGCTTATCGGGTCACTCCTCGTCCGTCCACCGAGACCATGGGCCCCGCCTCAAGCTGACTCCCGAGGGCTATCTCTGTCTCGCCCGACGTCTAAGGGCAGACTCCATCTCGCCCGACCCTCGAGGGCTGGCTCTGCCTCGCCCAACGTCTGAGGGCAGACTCCGTCTCATCCGACCCCTGAGGGTTGGCTCCACCTCGCCCGACGTCTGAGGGCAGACTACATCTTGCCCGACGTCTGGGGGCTAGGTCCGTCTTGCCCGATGTCCGAGTGCTGGCTCCACCTCGCCCAAAGTCCGGGGGCTGGCTCCGCCTCGTCCGACGTCACGGGACTGGCTCCGCCTCGCCCGACGTCTGCGCGCTGCTCCTTCATAACTACGTGAGCAGATAAGGCAGGGCACTCAAGTTAACATCAATACCGAGGACCATATCCTGCACGCCTGTAGGAAGGTACAGTCAGGATATGACAAGATGGGCGCTTTAAGCCCTTCCAGACATGTCAGAGCCAAAACAGTGTTGTAGGCGCAGACACCATATTACCATACGGAACAAAAACATAGCACTGACCTTTGGCTAAATTTTTTAAAATTAATTCACCAACATGGCATTGTCACACTGTTTTCAAACTTTAAAATTTTTTAAGTCTTTAGCTAGATTTGATTTCAAGTTCCATTTCTAAGCTATTAGAAATACTAGCTAGCAATATTATTTTCTGAAGGCAAAAGTTGCATTGTCACCTACAAGGTTTATACTTCAAACTTTATTTAGGTGTCACACACATGTTCTATAATATTTTTGCTAAATAAAAATTGGTTTTCAACCCTACTTGACATAACCTGAGCTATTAAATCAATTTTAACATTTTTATTATTCATTTTAGATTACAAGAAATTTATCTACACACTTTATCGCATGCATTATCACATAAACACGATGGTCATGACATGATTTAGTAGTTTGTTTAGGGCGTAACACCAAGGATGTTACACAAATGTTGCTAATAATTTCTATAAATCTAGTTAAATTTGCGGCACGCAAGCTAACAACCACAAATATTTAGGAACTATATTTAGAAACTGAAGGAGCATGCTTGTGCGCATTTGTGGATGCTTGTACTACCTCCGTCCTAAAAAGAATGTAATTGTCGCATTTCAAGAAGTCAAGAAATTTGAACTTTGACCAAAGTTATATGAAAAAATACTAACATTTATAATATAAAATAAGTACGAGTATCATTAGATTAATTATGGAATGTATTTTCATAACAAATTTATTTAGAGACATAATTACTAGAGTAATACTATTCACTATAAATTTGGTCAAGAGATTTTTTTTACTAGCACGATTTTCATAATTGTATTCTTTTTACACGGATAGAGTATTTGATTTCTAGCGAGAAATCTCGAGACCAAACTCGGAAATTGTACTTGATTTGGAGCATGCGTCTAGTCTAGAGGAAGATATTAATCCCAAGAGGCACTCTGCCGTCGGACGAGGTTTCGGCCCACCAGGCACCGGTATTACTGCCGATAAATTGCTTCCGTTCCATATCACTGGAATCCCCTCCTCTCTTGTGCTTCTGCATGCCTGCTGCGATGCCTGCTGCGTCTTCGTCCTCCTCGTCTTCCTCCTTCTACATCATCGGCGGCTCCTCGCCTTTCTGTTTCTTGATGAAACTGTTAGGATCGGTGGCTCACCGTCCTAGGAACTCTCGGCTGCCGGCGATGCCCGGTGGTGTGCGATCACCACGGACTCGAACAGATCGAACAAAGTATAGAACGCAGAACACGGCGAGTTGGTTTACTGCGAATGGCGCAGCTTTCCCAGATGCACTTCATTGATTATTATACCGGCTCGATCCGACTTCCCCGCCACAGGTTGTTGCTGCATGATACGCCATCATTTGCGAACGTCCATGCGACAAGCACGGCAGGCAACCCATGGCGGAGTGAGCCTCCTGGTCGCGGTCACGGCGCAGGGACATGCAAGTCTCCGCCTTTGCCCACGATTCTACGCGTGTACAAAACATGTTCATGCACCGAACAAGCTAACTAATGCACCTAAGAATGATTACAAGTTCCTGTCACGATTACAGAGTACTGGACCCCAACAATTCACCCCCTAATCGTGACACACACCGATGACACCCAACTTCTGATGCATCTCGATAAACTTTACTCTCCCCAACGGCTTTGTCAGAACATCTGCTAACTGTCGGTCAGTGCCAATGTGTTGAACCTCAGCAACACCATTACTAAAACACTCTCTGATATAATGATACCGTGTGTCTATGTGTTTGCTTCACTCATGATATACCGGATTCTTGCTCAACTCAATTGCTGACTTACTATCCATCAGGAGCTTGAACTTCTGAACTTTTTCACATGTCAGATCTGCTATCAGCCTGCTCAACCAAACACCTTGGCATGCGGCAGCAGCTGCTGCTATATATTCAGCTTCACAGCTTGATAGTGAAACAACCCTTTGTTTCTGTGACGTCCAAGTCACCACATTTTCATTCAGAAAAAATAGGATCCCTGTAGTGCTTTTCCTCTTCTCAAGGTCACCTGCATGGTCACTATCAGAATAACCCAACAGTTTCAGGCCTGAAATGGACTTCTTTTCATACTTGCAACCATATTCAGAAGTGCCAGCTACATATCTGACAATCCTTTTAACTGCTGCCCAATGTTCGGAAGTGGGAGACTCCATGAACTCCGCTCACCATCCCAACCGCAAAAAGCAATGTCAGTCCGGTGTTCACCAGAGATATCTCAAGCTCCCTACTATACTTCTGTATTTGGTAACATCTTTCACAAGATTAGGCTTCCCAGGGAGTAGCTTGCAATTCTGCTCCATTGGAGTGTCAGCAGGATTGCAGCCTGTCATTCCACACTGATCAACAATCTTAGTGGCATATGCTCTCTAACAGATAGTGATCTGCCCAGGACTTTGTTTTACTTCCATCCCCAAGTAGTAACTCAACATGCCAAGATCACTCATACTGAATGTTCTGCACATTTCCTTTTTGAATTCAGCAATGTTGTTTTTTGTCAGGCCCACAAATTATGAGGTCATCAACATATACACCAAGCAGCAACAGTGAACTGCCACTGCCTCTCTTGTACACTGCATGCTCCTCTTCACTCCTAACAAAACCCAACTTCTGCAATTCTTGATCTAACTTGGCATTCCAAGCCCTAGGTGCTTGTTTCAACCCATATAGGGCTTTTCTCAGCTTCAACACCTTGCCTGGATACTTGGGATTCTGAAATCCTGGTGGCTGATGGACATAGACCTCTTCTAGCAAATCTCCATTGAGGAATGCAGATTTCACATCCATGTGATGCACTTCCCAACCACCTTGAGTTGCCAGAGCCAGGATCAATCTTACTGTCTCCAGCCTAGCCACTGGAGCAAAGACCTCCTCATAGTCCACCACCTGTTTCTGAGCATACCCCTTTGCCACTAATCTTGCCTTATGTTTGACAATATTTCCCTCAGGATCCCTTTTCACCTTATAAACCCATTTCAGTCCAATTGCTCGGTGTCCCTTTGGAAGACTTGCATAGCACCAAGTATCATTCTCCTGTATGGACAGCAATTCAGACTTCATAGCATCAATCCAGCACTGTTCTTCTAGTGCCTCATCCACACCATTTGGTTCATCTGCAGCCAACATACACAAGCCACTATACTCATAGTCAAGAACTTCTTCAGTGGAGTCAAACAGCTCATTCAGAGTTCTGTATCTAGGTGTTCTTTCCTCTAAACTACCATCCCCCTGGCTCGATGGTGTTGCTAGGTTCTGATGTGGAGTCTGCACTGATTCTGGGGAGTTTTGTGGAGATGGTGTTGCTTCATGAGGAGCCACAATATCCTGTTGCCCAACAGAAGCCTCCCCCTCCTCTTCTGCTGCTGGCTGGGCACCTGCATTAGCTGTTGTCAGATTTTCATCAGACAACTCATAATGTACGATAAAGGTTTCAGTTTCTTCAGCTGTCTCATTTCCTGCATTGGTCCAGTTCCAGGCCTGTCCTTCATTAAAAACAACATCTCTACTGACCACGAGTCGACCAGTAGTTGGATCAAATAGCCTGTACCCTTTGGTGCCTGACTCATAGCCAATAAACACCATTCTGGTTGATCTATCTGACAGCTTGTTCAGACCAGGACCTGTATGCTTCACATATGCCATACAGCCAAATGTTCTGAGATGATTCACACTAGGCTTCCTTTTGTACCAAGCTTCAAATGGAAGGGATGCAGGTAATCAATGAAGTGCATCTAGGAAAGCTGCACCATTCGCAGTAAACCAACTCGCCGTGTTCTGCATTCTATACTTTGTTCGATCTATTCGAGTCCGTGGTGATCGCACACCACAGGGCATCGCCGGTAGCCGAGAGTTCCTAGGACGGTGAGCCACCGATCCTAACAATTTGGCATCAGAGCGAGAGTTGAGAGTTCCGGTGGATCCAGTGGTCCACCAAGAGAGCCGACGTAGAAGAAGATCGCAAGCCGCGCCGCCAACCACCGTCAGACGCCATGGCGACACATCGAGTTCCACCGGCGTGAAGGAGAGCTCGCTCATGTGGCCGATGCTTACCAGCGACAACTACACCGAGTGGGCGATGCTGATGCAGTGCAACTACGAAGCATTGGAGATCTGGGGGGTGATCGACCCGGGTACCGATCCGAAGCGTGCACAAGATCGTCAAGCCATGAGCGCGCTCTTGCGTTCTGTCCCAAAGGAGATGTGGCAGTCGTTGGGGAGGAAGAAGACGGTGAAGGAGGCGTGGGAGGCGGTGAGAACCATGCGGATTGGAGCCGATCGAGTCAAAGAGGTGAATGCCTAGAAACTCTTGAAGGAGTTCGAAAACATCCAGTTCAAGGAGGGGGAATCAGTCAATGATTTTGGGATGTGAATCACCAATCTTGTCGGAAACCTCAAGACTCTGGGAGAGACGATCGACGATGTCCGCGTCGTCAAGAAGTTTTTGCGCGTGGTGCCGCCACGGTTCACCCAAGTGGTGGTGTCCATAGACATGTTTTGTAATCTCAAGGAGTTGACAGTGGAGGAGTTGGTTGGGCGACTACGGGCGGCTGAAGAGAGGTTTGACGACAAAGTAGAACAAATCGTCGACAAGGCTGGCCGTCTTCTCCTCGCCGAGGATGACTGGCTTGAGAAACATAAGCACCGCTTCCACCCAGGGCCCAAGCAAGGTGGAGGTAAATTTGGCTCCGGGTCTTCAAAGGGCAAGGCGGCGGCGCGCCCAGACGGTGGTGCCCCGGATCAGGTCAAACTGACCTCCATGGGCACGCCAAGGAGGAAAGGCCGGTGCCGCAATTGTGGCATTTACGGTCACTGGGTGGAAGACTGCAAACGCCCGAAGAAGGAGAAGAAGGAGGCAGCACAGTCGGAGGCGAACATCGCTGTCGGCGGAGCTGAACATGGTGGCCCTCTGCTGCTGGCCACGTGCGATGTCGTGCACGAGCCGACGCAGATCGTGCATCTCATGGAGAAGGTGATTCCCATCGACGTTCCTGATGGAGTGTGGGTGCTTGACACCGGCGCTAGCAACCATATGACCGGGACTCGATCAGCGCTGACACAGCTCAATCGATCTGTTCGCGGCACCGTGCGTTTTGGTGATGGCTCCCGTGTCGAAATTGAAGGGACCGGCTCAGTGGTGATTCAAGGTCGCCATCAACTATCTCACAAGGTATTAACTGACGTTTATTACATTGCTAAGTTGAGAAGTAATATAGTCAGTTTGGGGCAATTAGAAGAGAAAGGTTTCAAAGTGGTTCTGGAGAATGGCAAGATATGTGTGTATGATCAAGGACGTGCTTTGTTGATTTCTGCTCCTAGAACCACTAACAGGTTCTATACTGTCAAGTTGAATCTGACTGAACCAATATGTCTGTTAGCAAAGTCTGAAGAGTTAGCTTGGCATTGGCATGCTAGATACGGTCACCTGAACTTTAGAGCTCTAAGAGATCTGGGCAGTAGAGGGATGGTTACTGGTATGCCGATAGTTAACAAGGTGGAGCAGATTTGTGATGGGTGTGTTCTTGGGAAGCAGCACAGGGTTCCTTTTCCTAAAGCTTCAGGAGCAAGAGCTAGTCAGGGCTTGCAGCTAGTTCATGCAGATCTTTGTGGCCATATCACTCCTAAGACACCAGGGGGGTGCTCATATTTTCTACTAGTTGTTGATGATCACAGTAGATTTATGTGGGTGGAGATGCTAAAAAGCAAGGATCAGGCACTGGAAAGTTTTAAAAAAATCAAACAGAGAGCTGAGCTGGAATCTGACAAAAGGCTAAAAGCTTTGAGAATAGATAGGGGAGGAGAATTTACATCTCATCTATTCTCAGTCTTTTGCAATGAGCAGGGCATCAAGCACTACACTACTACACCCTATTCTCCTCTACAAAATGGGGTAGTAGAGCGTCGAAACCAAACTGTGGTAGAGATGGCTAGGTGCTTGCTAAAGGCCATGGGTGTCCCTGCAAAATTTTGGGGTGAGGCAGTTCTGACTGCGGTGTACATTTTGAATAGGTCACCAACAAAAAGTCTAGAAGGCATCACTCCATTTGAAGCTTGGTACAAAAGGAAGCCTAGTGTGAATCATCTCAGAACATTTGGCTATATGGCATATGTGAAGCATATAGGTCCTGGTCTAAACAAGCTGTCAGACAGATCAACCAGAATGGTGTTTATTGGCTATGAGTCGGGCACCAAAGGGTACAGGCTATTTGATCCAACTACTGGTCGACTCGTGGTCAGTAGAGATGTTGTTTTTGATGAAGGACAGGCCTAGAACTGGACCAATGCAGGAAATGAGACAGCTGAAGAAACTGAAACCTTTATCGTACATTATGAGTTGTCTGATGAAAATCTGACAACAGCTGATGCAGGTGCCCAGCCAGCAACAGAAGAGGAGGGGGAGGCTTCTGTTGGGCAACAGGGTATTGTGGCTCCTCATGAAGCAACACCATCTCCACAAAACTCCCCAGAATCAGTGCAGACTCCACATCAGAACCTAGCAACACCATCGAGCCAGGGGGATGGCAGTTCAGAGGAAAGAACACCTAGATACAGAACTCTGAATGAGCTGTTTGACTCCACTGAAGAAGTTCTTGACTATGAGTATAGTGGCTTGTGTATGTTGGCTGCAGATGAACCAAATGGTGTGGATGAGGCACTAGAAGAACAGTGCTGGATTGATGCTATGAAGTTTGAATTGCTGTCCATACAGGAGAATGATACTTGGTGCTATGCAAGTCTTCCAAAGGGACACCGAGCAATTGGACTGAAATGGGTTTATAAGGTGAAAAGGGATCCTGAGGGAAATATTGTCAAACATAAGGCAAGATTAGTGGCAAAGGGGTATGCTCAGAAACAGGTGGTGGACTATGAGGAGGTCTTTGCTCCAGTGGCTAGGCTGGAGACAGTAAGATTGATCCTGGCTCTGGCAACTCAAGGTGGTTGGGAAGTGCATCACATGGATGTGAAATCTGCATTCCTCAATGGAGATTTGCTAGAAGAGGTCTATGTCCATCAGCCACCAGGATTTCAGAATCCCAAGTATCCAAGCAAGGTGTTGAAGCTGAGAAAAGCCTTATATGGGTTGAAACAAGCACCTAGGGCTTGGAATGCCAAGTTAGATCAAGAATTGCAGAAGTTGGGTTTTGTCAGGAGTGAAGAGGAGCATGCAGTGTACAAGAGAGGCAGTGGCAGTTCACTGTTGCTGCTTGGTGTATATGTTGATGACCTCATAATTTGTGGGCCTGACAAAAAACAACATTGCTGAATTCAAAAAGGAAATGTGCAGAACATTCAGTATGAGTGATCTTGGCATGTTGAGTTACTACTTGGGGATGGAAGTAAAACAAAGTCCTGGGCAGATCACTATCTGTTAGAGAGCATATGCCACTAAGATTGTTGATCAGTGTGGAATGACAGGCTGCAATCCTGCTGACACTCCAATGGAGCAGAATTGCAAGCTACTCCCTGGGAAGCCTGATCTTGTGAAAGATGTTACCAAATACAGAAGTATAGTAGGGAGCTTGAGATATCTGGTGAACACCAGACCTGACATTGCTTTTGCAGTTGGGATGGTGAGCAGGTTCATGGAGTCTCCCACTTCTGAACATTGGGCAGCAGTTAAAAGGATTGTCAGATATGTAGCTGGCACTTCTGAATATGGTTGCAAGTATGAAAAGAAGTCCATTTCAGGCCTGAAACTGTTGGGTTATTCTGATAGTGACCATGCAGGTGACCTTGAGAAGAGGAAAAGCACTACAGGGATCCTATTTTTTCTGAATGAAAATGTGGTGACTTGGACGTCACAGAAACAAAGGGTTGTTTCACTGTCAAGCTGTGAAGCTGAATATATAGCAGCAGCTGCTGCCGCATGCCAAGGTGTTTGGTTGAGCAGGCTGATAGCAGATCTGACATGTGAAAAAGTTCAGAAGTTCAAGCTCCTGATGGATAGTAAGTCAGCAATTGAGTTGAGCAAGAATCCGGTATATCATGAGCGAAGCAAACACATAGACACACGGTATCATTATATCAGAGAGTGTGTTAGTAATGGTGTTGCTGAGGTTCAACACATTGGCACTGACCGACAGTTAGCAGATGTTCTGACAAAGCCGTTGGGGAGAGTGAAGTTTATCGAGATGCGTCAGAAGCTGGGTGTCATCGGTGTGTGTCACGATTAGGGGGTGAATTGTTGGGGTCCAGTACTCTGTAATCGTGACAGGAACTTGTAATCATTCTTAGGTGCATTAGTTAGCTTGTTCGGTGCATGAACATGTTTTGTACACGGGTAGAATCGCGGGCAGAGGCGGAGACTTGCACGTCCCTGCGCCGTGACCGCAACCAGGAGGCTCACTCCGCCACGGGTTGCCTGCCGTGCTTGTCGCATGGACGTTCGCAAATGACGGCGTATCATGCAGCAACAACCTGTGGCGGGGAAGTCGGATCGAGCCGGTATAATAATCAATGAAGTGCATCTGGGAAAGCTGCGCCATTCGCAGTAAACCAACTCGCCGTGTTCTGCGTTCTATACTTTGTTCGATCTGTTCGAGTCCGTGGTGATCGCACACCACCGAGCATCGCCGGCAGCCGAGAGTTCCTAGGATGGTGAGCCACCGATCCTAACAAATAGCCTGTACCCTTTGGTGCCCGACTCATAGCCAATAAACACCATTCTGGTTGATCTGTCTGACAGCTTGTTCAGACCAGGAGCTGTATGCTTCACATATGCCATACAGCCAAATGTTCTGAGATGATTCACACTAGGCTTCCTTTTGTACCAAGCTTCAAATGGAGTGATGCCTTCTAGACTTTTTGTTGGTGACCTATTCAAAATGTACACCGCAGTCAGAACTGCCTCACCCCAAAATTTTGCCGGGACACCCATGGCCTTTAGCAAGCACCTGGCCATCTCTACCACAGTTTGGTTTCGACGCTCTACTACCCCATTTTGTTGAGGAGAATAGGGTGTAGTAGTGTAGTGCTTGATGCCCTGCTCATTGCAAAAGACTGAGAATAGATGAGATGTAAATTCTCCTCCCCTATCTGTTCTCAAAGCTTTTAGCCTTTTGTTAGATTCCAGCTCAGCTCTCTGTTTGATTTTTTTAAAACTTTCCAGTGCCTGATCCTTGCTTTTTAGCATCTCCACCCACATAAATCTACTATGATCATCAACAACTAGTAGAAAATATGAGCACCCCCCTGGTGTCTTAGGAGTGATATGGCCACAAAGATCTGCATGAACTAGCTGCAAGCCCTGACTAGCTCTTGCTCCTGAAGCTTTAGGAAAAGGAACCCTGTGCTGCTTCCCAAGAACACACCCATCACAAATCTGCTCCACCTTGTTAACTATCGGCATACCAGTAACCATCCCTCTACTGCCCAGATCTCTTAGAGCTCTAAAGTTCAGGTGACCGTATCTAGCATGCCAACGCCAAGCTAACTCTTCAGACTTTGCTAACAGACATATTGGTTCAGTCAGATTCAACTTGACAGTTAGAGCCTGTTAGTGGTTCTAGGAGCAGAAATCAACAAAGCACGTCCTTGATCGTACACACACATCTTGCCATTCTCCAGAACCACTTTGAAACCTTTCTCTTCTAATTGCCCCAAACTGACTATATTACTTCTCAACTTAGGAATGTAATAAACGTCAGTTAATACCTTGTGAGATAGTTGATGGCGACCTTGAATCACCACTGAGCTGATCCCTTCAATTTCGACGCGGGAGCCATCACCAAAACGCATGGTGCCGAGAACAGATCGATCGAGCTGTGTCAGCACTGATCGAGTCCCGGTCATATGGTTGCTAGCGCCGGTGTCAAGCACCCACACTCCATCAGGAACGTCGATGGGAATCACCTTCTCCATGAGATGCACGATCTGCGTCGGCTCGTGCACGACATCGCACGTGGCCAGCAGCAGAGCGCCACCATGTTCAGCTCCGCCGACAGCGATGTTCTCCTCCGGCTGTGCTGCCTCCTTCTTCTCCTTCTTCGGGCGTTTGCAGTCTTCCACCCAGTGACCGTAAATGCCACAATTGCGGCACCGGCCTTTCCTCCTTGGCGTGCCCATGGAGGTCAGTTTGACCTGATCCGGGGCACCACCGTCTGGGCGCGCCGCCGCCTTGCCCTTTGAAGACCCAGAGCCGAATTTACCTCCACCTTGCTTGGGCCCTGGGTGGAAGCGGTGCTTATGTTTCTCAAGCCAGTCATCCTCGGCGAGGAGAAGACGGCCAGCCTTGTCGACGATTTGTTCTACTTTGTCGTCAAACCTCTCTTCAGCCACCCGTAGTCACCCAACCAACTCCTCCACTGTCAACTCCTTGAGATTACAAAACATCTCTATGGACACCACCACTTGGGTGAACCGTGGCGGCACCACGCGCAAAAACTTCTTGACGATGCGGACATCGTCGATCGTCTCTCCCAGAGTCTTGAGGTTTCCGACAAGATTGGTGATTCACATCCCAAAATCATCGACTGATTCCCCCTCCTTGAACTGGATGTTTTCGAACTCCTTCAAGAGTTTCTGGGCATTCACCTCTTTGACTCGATCGGCTCCAATCCGCATGGTTCTCACCGCCTCCCACGCCTCCTTCACCGTCTTCTTCCTCCCCAACGACTGCCACATCTCCTTTGGGACAGAACGCAAGAGCGCGCTCATGGCTTGACGATCTTGTGCACGCTTCGGATCGGTACCCGGGTCGATCACCCCCCAGATCTCCAATGCTTCGTAGTTGCACTGCATCAGCATCGCCCACTCGGTGTAGTTGTCGCTGGTAAGCATCAGCCACATGAGCGAGCTCTCCTTCACGCCTGTGGAACTCGACGTGTCGCCATGGCGTCTGACGGTGGTTGGCGGTGCGGCTTGCGATCTTCTTCTACGTCGGCTCTCTTGGTGGACCACTGGATCCACCGGAACTCTCAACTCTCGCTCTGATGCCAAATTGTTAGGATCGGTGGCTCACCGTCCTAGGAACTCTCGGCTGCCGGCGATGCCCGGTGGTGTGCGATCACCACGGACTCGAACAGATCGAACAAAGTATAGAACGCAGAACACGGCGAGTTGGTTTACTGCGAATGGCGCAGCTTTCCCAGATGCACTTCATTGATTATTATACCGGCTCGATCCGACTTCCCCGCCACAGGTTGTTGCTGCATGATACGCCGTCATTTGCGAACGTCCATGCGACAAGCACGGCAGGCAACCCGTGGCGGAGTGAGCCTCCTGGTCGCGGTCACAGCGCAGGGACGTGCAAGTCTCCGCCTCTGCCCGTGATTCTACGCGTGTACAAAACATGTTCATGCACCGAACAAGCTAACTAATGCACCTAAGAATGATTACAAGTTCCTGTCACGATTACAGAGTACTGGACCCCAACAGAAACTGGAGGGGCCGCAGCCCCTACTGGACTCCTCGCCTCTCCGTGGCGACTCCATCATCGAGATCGAGGGCAGCGACACTGACGAGGACGGCGGCGGCGTCACGCTCTCGTGGTCCGTGGCCGAGCGATTCGTGTCGTCCTTCCAAACCCAAGGGGCCCTTGACGACCTCTACAAAGAGTACGGAGCGTCTGCGTGTACGCACACGCGCTGGAGGCCGGCATGCGCGTCCCGCTGCACGGCTTCTTCTGCGAGGTGCTCGCCCACTTCGGCGTCGAGCCGAGCCAGATCGCGCCCAACGGTTGGCGCCCCATGGCGGGCTTCGTCGTCCTTTCCCACTTCACCGGCGTGGCCCCGTCACTCCCCGTGTTCCGGCACTTCTTCACGCTGTGCGCGTTCAAGTTCAAGGGGGTGGTACTGCTTCCGGGGCAAGGACGTCGCCGGCGCGCTCTTCAAGGGAATGCCCCTTTCGATTAAGGGGTGGAAGGAGGCCTTCTTCTTCCTCAAGTCGCCAACGCCGTGGCCGTGCCGCGTGAATTGGGGCGCCCTCTCCAGGGGCTCCACTGTTGAGCCTGTACTCACCAGAGACAAGAAGAGCGTGGCGAAGAAGCTGCTCCGTGTGCACGGCGCGGCGGTCGATATCAAGACATATCTTTCCGAGAGCAATCTTGCTGCTGCAATGATCACCAGTTCATCAGCGAAGCCGCCGCCGGCGTCGGCGGTTCATACTACTAGCAGTGCTAGTGCCAGAGGTATTACTCGAGCACGCCCGGACTCCCAATCTCCCATTACCTGGTTTGTACTAAAAAGGGGTTTATTGCTGTGGATGCGTGACAGGGATCGATCCTTCCGTGTACGAGATGATGAAGAAACTGCAGGCGGCAAAGGCCGTGCAGGAGCAGGCGTCTGGAGTTACGGTGAAGAGTGAGCCTGGCAGCGACACGCCGTTGTCTGGGAAGAAGAGGAAGGCGACGGAGGACGCCGCGGAGCAGGGTCCATCTCGCCCTCAGCCGAGCACGCCACTTGGTCATGCCCACGGCTCGTCGGGCGTGTCACCTTCTCCGCCGGGCTTCTCCACCCAGAAGTCATCGAATCTTAGCCGTGAGCCTGACGGCGGCGGCACCTCCGACTGGGAGAGCGCAAGGCAGATGCTTTAGAGCATCGTCACGCCAGCGCTAGAGCAGACGTTCTCGGCGGCGAAGCCCTCTGACGTCATCACCTCGAGCTACATGACAGCGCTACAGGTTTTTCTTTTCGCTTTAGTCCATTGCGACTCGTTTCGTGCATGTGTCATTCTAACCCGCTCTCTTGTCGTGGTCGTGGGCGACGCGCGCGCAGGCCGCGAACTACGCGTCGTTCTCGCTGGGCTACGCGCTGGAGCTCGCGGCGAGGGAGCGCAAGGCGGACGCGCTGCTGCAGGAGCTGTCCCAGGCCAAGGCCGAGCTCGCCGGCGCGAAGAAGGCGGCCGCGGAGGAGCTGAGGAGCGCCGCGGAGGCTGCGGTGCGCGAGTTCCGGGGCTGCACGGAGCAGGTGCTCCGGTTCGCCGAGCACGCGCTGCCCGGGTACGAGAAGGGTATGGAGGATATGAAACGTGCCGTGCTGCGCCGGTACCCGCACCTCGACCCGGAGCAGCTCGTCGTTCCGGCGGACGGCGGCGGAGGTAAGTAGCGCGTGGCGTGACTGGCGTCGGATCGATGCTGGGTGTTTTTTTTTGGCGTGACTAACCTCAGGATCATGCGCGCTTGGTTAGATGGACTTTATCTATCTAAATCCATCAGGCTAATCTCAGAGCACTCCCAACGATGAAATTATCATTGTTTCTATGTACATTAATTGTACTGCTACCTAAACGTTTTGCTGATGTGGCAAGGTATTTATTGAAAAGAGAGTAAAAATCATAAAAAATCTAGGTCTAAGTTAGAAACCATGTCTACACGAGAATCAAGACATGAAGAGGTATGATTGACAGAGAATGAGGAGACAATGTATGTGATTGATAAAAAAATATTCCGTAAAAACTATTCATTGGAACCATGGTTTTTATACATAGTGTCTATAAAAATTAATAAATATAGAAACTATATATAGTTTTTAGCATCGGACTGCCCTCGCTACGTGTTTGTAAAGCCTACTCTGCCGTAGGTACATGCCTGATTTTGGTTTTAATCACATTTTGCGACCTTCTTCGGAATATTGGATCCTACATGTTTGTAAAGCCTGCTCTGCCGTTGATGTTTGCTTGGTGGAATTTCGGCAGGCTCGCTCCTATATACATATACTCCCCCTCACTCCTAAAACAAATGCACTTCTACAATTGTTTAGAAATGCCAATGCTAATAGCGAGGTTATATTTGTATCCCTATCCAAAGGTGTTGGAGCATGTAATAATTGCATTGCCTACTAAAACTAGGTGGTCCCACACCTCTGCATACGTGTCTTAAATGTAGGACAAAATTTGAATGTTAGAAATGCACTTATTCTCGAACGGGGTGTACTAGCTACGCTCCATATATATAGCTAAGTCATTGTTATCTCTGTGTGCCTAAAAATAAATTAGAAGATTTATGTATTTAACTAGAGGAGAAATCAAAATTTACAAAGTTTGACCAACAATTGGTTAAATTGTGTGCAAGTTTAGGGGTATGAAACTTGCAACAATTGATTTATGTTCAAAGATGATATTGGCTTCTTTAGCAATTGTGTCGGGTTCATAAATCCGAGTCCCTCATGGACCTGCTTCCCAGCAAAAGCTCGGCCCAGTAGATGACGTTGCGAATGACGCGCAACTCTGGGCGGCCCAAGTACCTAAACAACAGGCCAAAAGGGCGATCCAACCTCCGACCGAAAGGCTTGGCTAAGAGAAACGGCTCCCGCTTCCGACTCTGGCCCGCCTCTCCGACCGGAAGGTCCGGCCAAAGAGGAACGTCGCTCGCTTCCGACTCCGACCCGCCTCTACGACCGGAAGGCCTGGCCAACACTGCTTTCGACTCGGACCTGCGTCTCCGACCAGGGATTCACCGAACCTCTGCTTACATCTCTTCTCCGACTGGCGCAGTCAGAGCCGACTGGGACCAACCGACCGGGGACGCCCGCTCGGTGAGGACCCAGGGAACGGACGAAGCAAGTAAGGCAGGGCGCTCAAGTCAACCGTAAAACCAAGGACCATATCCTGTACACCTGCAGGACAGTACCGACAGGACATGTCAGAAGGGTGCTCTGCAACCTTCCAGGCATGTCAGAACCCAAGCAGTGTTGTGGACGCCGACGTTTTGCCCTATAGTGTTATGGGAGCCATCAATTTCCATACCAGGCAAACACGGTAAAATCCCCCACATGCCTCTTGAAACGACCTAATTTCCGCGAAGGGAAATCCACAGAGTCGAAGTGTATTATGACCGTTGTAGATCATATTACCCAAATTCCAGTCGAATACCACATCCATACAACGATAATATCAGAGTACAAATAGTGCGGAATTACATAAATTATTACATCGCCGCATTGAAGGAATCAAAAGTAGCATTCATTCAGAACAGCTTGAAGATAAGATCGCCAAACTCGAGCGTAGGAACAAACCCCTCAACCGTCAAACTCCTCAGAGCTATACTCCTCAGCAGAACCTGTGTGCCAAAATTTATCAGTACGATTTGTACTGGCCACTCCCACCCTATGAGCTATGCTTTGTGGAAATTGGATGCAAGTTGGATATAATCAGAAGGAACCTATAAGGCTGGGGTTTCCTATGTATTAGCATATCAAGTATATAATAGTATAGTCAAGTTTTAACACCATTCCCACACACATTCCACCCCATTTCCGTCCAGAGCCAGGTTTCGATCCTAGGATTGATATACCACCATCTCCATATCGTCACCACACCATCGCTCAGTCGACAGGCCAACTCCCTCTCGGCACTGTCTCATGGCCCATAGCCCCTGGCTACGACCAACACTCTCTCATGGGGGAAGAAGAGAAGGACTCATCTCACTATCTAGTTTAAGCGAAACCCAGGAAAGGTCCATAGCCGACAAGTCGGCATATGTATCGATTGATCAACCATACACTCTGCAGAGGTTTTACATAACCACAAGATCCTCCTTCCTCGCTGACCGTCGTCAACTGGGCTGATTCCGACCGCTTGCTAGCCTAGGATAATGCCACCCTACCATTCAGCCCTGGTACACCCCAAGTCTAGTCTGGGGTGGCTGAAACTGTGAGTCACGAGCTGGGTCCACAAGGTCTCCATAAAGTCTCGAAAGGGTGTGGGGGGAATTCTCCATGCCCCGTACCTCCTCGCACTGTCCGCTATCAACCTAGCAGTAGTGGCAATATCCTACCAAGTAGTCCGGCCGTCCCACACCATATAGGATGAGTGGTACGTAAGGCTTCCCTGTGAATCTGAGTGCTAGTAAGTCCTTAGGGATGACCAAGCCAGAATGTCTTCATCAGGGTTTCCATTTACCGTGCCACCACAGCACCTCCAACCCGGGCTCCTCCCATCATAGGTTCACACCCAGGGCTACCTCATATACCATTTACCCACCATAGGTATCCATTTCCAGGGGTGCCCAGGTAGCACCCCGCGGCAAGACTTGTCCCAGGCTCGTCGTATATTCCAACTTGGTCGACACAACCCTCACCCGCCACGCACCCAAGTCACACACGTAGCACTCTCCCCATAGTCCAGATAACACCAGTTTCCACCACGCATCAATGTAGTACAAGCGTAGTAGAAGTATTAAGCAATGAAATATAGCAGCAAGCGTGTGTCTAGCCTAATAGCAGGGTAAGCAGGGGTAAGGTTGCGTCAAGGTATAGGCCATCAAGTAAGCATACTACCATGCAAGTCCTATCTTAGTGTGAATATAACAATAAAGTAATGCAATAGCAGTTCTATATTAGCCATGCGTAATAGGTGCTACGAGGTTGGGTGGGATGTGGCACCTTCAGTGTAGTCGTCTCCATACTCCTCACGGTACTCTCGGTCCTCGTCCGTCTGGTTCTCCTCCGAGTCTGCAAACGATCGCATTATAGTAGCGTTAGCGACGTCTATAGAATAGCATAAAAAGCAATGAAAATTCCAAAGAGCCAAATGCACTCAAACATGGGTTCATTGCGTAGAGCTCGATTTTAGATGAATTTTGGTCCTGGTCTTGTATTTTTCTGAGTTCGTATGAATTAGTTATGAATTCCCGAAGTTTCAAGCATTTCTGAAAATGGGAAAAGGCTGAATTAATATCGTGCTGACACGTGTCACGCTCCTGTTGGTCCACATGGCATGCTGACATCAGCATGACATCAGCATGATGTCATCGTCTCGGTTCTGGTATTGACAGGTGGGGTCTCGCATGGCGGTGTCACTGACATGTGGCCCCGGTCAACGGTCAACGTTGACCGGTCAATGGTCAATAAAGGTCGGGCCTCGACTGGGCTGGTTGGGCCTGGATTTGGGCCAGGCTTGTCCCGCCATGTGGCACGCGTTGGTGCGGCCACATCACGACCCTGGGCCTCTACTGGGCTCTGGTCCACCGATCCGGTGCATGGTGGACTACGCGGTGTTGGTTCATGGACTGCAAACACGGTCTACGTAGTCTGGGTCCACCGATCCTTCTCCTCCGTTTGGTTTACCAAGACTGGGTGCACGCGTACGTGAACCAGGCGGGGAGAATTCCCCATCGTCCACGACGCTCCCGCCAGCGGTGAGCTCGCTAGGGAGCCTCTCGGGCGGTACTGGTGCGCGATTAAGGTAGGCAAAAGCGTCGCCAAGCCTCGGCGAGTGTAGTGGTGGGGTCAAGGTGGCGGCTGGGGCTTCCTAGGGTTCCAGCCACGGTGAACGGCGGCGTGGGTTCGTCGGCGTGCATGGACAGGGCTGCAGTGGTAGCGAGAGCCCAGTTGGAGGAGCGTGTGAGCTCCACGGTGCTTCTACGGCCATGGTAGGCGTGTTGAAGGAGCTCCTAGTGCTCCCAGTGGCTCCGCCCACGGTGGTGGGGGAAAAGCAGAGGCGGTGGCGCTCCGACGAGGTGCGGTGCGGCAACGTAGGGCTCCGGTGGGCTTCTTCCTCGGCTAAGGTGAGCGCAGTGTGTCTCTCATCATGGTGGAGCCAGTCGGGGTGTCAACGTCGCCTTTACCGTGACGTAGAAGACACGGTGGTCTCACCATGGTTGTGCTCTCGGCCATGGTGAGCGTGCCCGTGCATGTGCGCTCCTACTCCGATGTACAACGTCATGGCTGGGGTCCTCTTTTGGCTGATGGCAGCGCGCACGGCATGTCCTGGGTCTCGGCAAGCGTGGCCATGGCGGTCTCCCTAGCTAACCAGTTGGGCTAGGCTGGAGCTCGAAGCTTCAGCAAGGTTTTGATCGTGGCGGTGCATGTTCCATTTGGCTAGGGAGGTGGTCTCAGCAAGATGGCTCACCGCAGGGAGCTCGAAGGCGATGGTGGTGGTGCGGTGTCGACGGTGTAGCAGAGCCGAGCCGGGACAGAGGTACTCATCGTCTTCCGCGTCGGCGGCTCCTCCCTTCTTGCTCCGGTAGTGGTGTCCTTCTCCGCGCCTCTCCTTCTCCTCTCGTCCCTCGGCTTAGTGTGTTGGTGCGAACCGCACGGCGGCGGCGAGGTGTGATGAGGTGCTAGGGTTCTAGGCTCCTCCTTTTATAGGCAAAGCTCCAGGCTTC